AGTGATACTGCCTCGGAAACCCAAGGAGGGGTCGCTATGAGTCGGGGCCGACTCGATGGCACATAACAACAACAACAACAACAACATGGGGAACAGGTTGGAGCAGGATGTGTGAACAGCTGTCTGGATGCATGTCCCCAGCCTCCTTGCTGCTCACAGGGCATGGCAGAGGCTCGGGAGTAGGAAGGACAGGCCTCCCTTGGCCATCTTCTCCCCCTCAGACCTCCATGCAAGACTTGAGTCTTGAGGGCCCCATTCAAAGTTGCACAAGCATGTCGTGGCAGGACTGAGGCCACTATGGGCCAATGTAGGGTATCCAGGAACCCTAGCCCTCCCTGCTGACCCCGTCCCCATTGACTGTCATCTGGCTTTTTCCCCTTGACGCTGTCTCCTTCCTAGGCACTCCTGGACCTCGGGGGCTCCCCCAACTACAAGGACCGCCGGGGGCTGACCCCTCTGTTCCACACAGCTATGGTGGGGGGGGACCCCCGGTGCTGCGAGCTGCTGTTGTACAACAGAGCCCAGCTGGGCACCGCCGACGAGAACGGCTGGCAGGAGATCCACCAGGTGTTTCCGGCAGGGCCGGGAGGGGCTGCAGGGGGGAAGGCGGGAAGGTCGGGGGCCGGCTGGGGACCCCAGTGCTGGGTCGTTGAGGTGCAAGGCCCGGAGATCCAGAGGCTTAGGTCCTCACAGAAGGTGGGGCCCCCAAAGAGGAGGAGGAGGTGGGCGTGGAGACCCTGAGACCCTCAGAGGGCCTGGGCTGGGGAGTGGTTGATCCCAGAGATGGGTAGGCACCCAGGTCTTGGAATGATTGAACTCGAGAAACTGGCCATCTGGGTCTCCAGCAGGAAAGGAGGTTGTTAGGAGAAGGGGAGGTGAGATGGGGGCTCCCTGGATGTAGACTGACGGTGGCCCCAGCGGGAATTCCCACGCACGCCCAGCTCCTCTGCTCACGGTCCGTCCTCCCCCAGGCCTGCCAGCGGGGCCACTCGCAACACCTGGAGCACCTGCTCTTCTACGGGGCGGAGCCCGGAGCCCAGAACGCGTCAGGGAACACAGCCCTGCACATATGTGCCCTCTACAACAAGGTCTGCCTGGCAGTGCCCGTCCTCAGCCACCTCCCCACCTTCTGTTTCCTCGCTGTTCTCATTCATTCATTCATTCATTCATGCAACAGTATTGGCTGAGCTCTTTCACTGTTTCCATTCATTCATTCATTCATTCATTCAACAAATGTTTCTCCAGTGCCTTCCCCATGTCAGGCCTTGAGCTGGGTGCTGGGGATACAATGGTGAACAAGATGGACCCCTTGGGGTACCTGAGGTCTGGCAGGGAGGGCTCAGCACACACACAGTGCCACTGCTGTCTGGAGCACCCAGCCAAGTCCTGGGAAACGCAGGTCACTGTGGGCCTTGGGTTTGGGCCTGGGGGTGGGGGGTGGGCCACTGTGTTAAAAGCTGAAAGATAAGCCGAGTTAGAGAGGGGAGGAGGAAGGGTGTTCCGGGCAGAGGGAACAGCCTATGCAAAAACCCAGAGTGCAGAGACAGCAGGGCCCATGACAGGAAGTGAAGGGCACTCCGTGGTTTTCATTTCACGTGCTTCTCCATTCACCTGGCAGTAAAGCACCTACTGTGTGCAGGTGCCATGTGCGGGCACTGCAGTGCTCAGGCGAAAGGTCGAGCGACAGTGGTTCAACCATCCAGGGCTGGGTGGCCGGTTCCCACGTCGGGAGAGCCAGGGAGAGGTGGGCACAGAGAGCTGGCAGGCGTCGCCATGCTGCGGCTTGCCCCACGCTGTGGGGAGACGCTTGGCAAGAACTGAGCGTGATGACTTAGCACCTGTGCCACCCATGCATGCATGCAGGCGCCCAGGTGAGCCCAGGCAAGCCCGCCCTCCAGGAGCCTCCATCTCTCCACCTGTTTCCTGATGCACCCCGCACTTAAAGGGCTGCTGAAGGGACTGAGGGGGACAGGGCTCGCCTTCTCCAAGGAGTCTTCCGGCAGCGCCCCCAGCCCCTTCTGCCGCATCAGAACTTGCAGTCCTGGGACTCTGGCAAGTAGCCAGGCACTGCCTTGTGGCAGCAAGCGTCATGCTTGGCACCGGGAAAGGACTCTGTCATATCAGAGCAGCATGGGACCGTCATTGCCCCTCCCTAGGTGTGTCTGCCTCTCCCGCTCCCATGCCCCTGACTCCACTGCCCGTGGGCGGCACGGAAGGCAGAGATGCCAGCCTCAGGTAGACCAGGGGCCCCAAGCAAGCCGCTCCCCCTCTCCGGGGCTCCAGCCCCCTCTGAAATGGGAGTAACGCCAACTCACTGAAGGAGATGAGTGGTCCTGGGTATAAGCACCGTCTCAAGACAGCAGCTGTAGCCCTAACCACAGCCATAATACCTTTGATTACTATTGACATTATGTAGCGTAATGATAGAAGGCGCTCTAGTGGCGCGGTAGTTCAGCTCTCAGCTGCTAACCAAAAAGTCCACCATTGAAACCCACCAGCCCCTTCACAGGACAAACCCGAGGCAGTCTGCTTCCGTAAAGATTTACCGCCTCAGAAACCTTGCGGGGCAGCTCTGCTCATCTGTAGAGTTGCTATGAAGCTGGAATTGACTGATGGCAGTGGGTTTAGCTTTTTATTTTTTTAAATAAAACTATAACTAATATTATATAGATTATTGTTGTTTGTATAGTGGCATTTGGCTACTAGCCAGAAGGTGAGCAGTTCAAACCCACCAGCTGCTCCACAGGAGAAAGATGAGGCATTCGAGTTCCATAAAGACTGACAGCTTTGGAGACCCTGTGGGCAGTTCCACTCTGTCCTCTAGGGGCGCTGTGGGTCAGAATGGACTCCATGCAGTGGATGTGGTTTGGGCTTTGCGTCTGTGAAGACTGACAGCCTTGGAGACCCTGTGGTGCAGTTCCACTCTGTCCTCTAGGGGCGCTGTGAGTCGGAATCGACTCCACGGCAGTGGGTGTGGTTTGGGGTTTTCATAATGAAATATAAAATAATGAAATAGAGAAATGAATATGTTCATAATGAAATAGATATGATTCATTAATATTAATTAGGTGGTGCTACGTTACTAACCAGTGTTAACGTTTATTGATAAAAGCATCGCCATCATCATTGCCACCATATCAGTCAGGGTCCAGTCAGCAGACGGGACCCATACCCTTCATCTGCACAGGAAGCATTTGTTGCTCAGCGTGGTGAAAAGACCCATGACAACATATGCCATTTCAACAACCTGTGTGTGCACGGTCCGGTGACACTGCTTACCATCTTCAAGTTGTACAACCCTCCTCACTACCCTTTCCCAAATCATCGCACCCCCCTCCACCCCAGCGTTAAGTCCCTGAGCGCAGTCTCCCCCATTCTCCCGCCCTCACACCCTTGGCCCCCACTGGTAATCTTTGGTTTCTGTTTATTTCACGTGCGTGAGGCCGTGCGGTGTCTGTCCTTCTGCACCTGACTTGATGTCCCTCAGCACGATGTTTCCTGGTTCCTGGAACCTCCCGGTGCATCAGGACTTGACTCTCTTCATGACCGAGTAGTACTCCATCGTGCGGGTGGGCCACATCTCGTGTGTCCGTTCATCTCTCGTGTGGGTGTTTCGGTTGCTTGCATGCTGCAGGGAGTGTTTCGTGTGAGGAACAATTCGATTGCGTCCTTTCACTCTTGGTGGACAGATGACCAAGTCACTTCCTCTCCTTGACTTTCTGCTTTCCTCATTTGTGAAACGGGTGAGTGACCCCCTCCAAACACAGCATCCAGTGGGTTAGCGTCGCGCTTGCCAGTGGCATGGTACTTAACACAGAGAGCTTAGCAAACGGGGGTTCCTTCACTTTTCTCCCCTTGTGTGTGAGTGACTTTCAGCTCCAAGAGCCAGTGCTGGGTTTGATAGTTTCCCGCCCTCTCTGCTGCCCTGATCTCTCGGCATGCCTGTTACCCTCTCATGGTGATTGCTGGGTCCATGTCTAGGCTGCGAGCGCCTCAGGCATAGAGGCTGAGCCTGATGAATTGCCCTGTCCGGAGGCCCCAGCACACACTAGATCCAGATCCATCCTTGTCGAGTGACGGCCTGTTGGGTCCGCCATCTTGGATTTCGCCAAGAGCCATGAAACAGTGCCTGGCTTGGAAGCTTCAACAAGTGTTTGCTTCGTGATCAATGGAATTAACCCGTGAATGAATGAATGACTTGAATGAGTGAGTTTTGAATGATCACCTGCACGTCCTCCATCCTCATTCCTTCTCTCGCGCATTTCTTGAGCACCTACTGTTTACCTGCCAGGCGCCGGGGCTGTGGAGCAGAGGCGGAGGCGGTGGCTGCCCCTGGAAGGGTGGGGGGAGTTCACAGGCTGGCAGGGAGGCAGACTTGTAAACAAATAATTGCACTATCATGAGCTAAGTGCGAGAACAGCAGTAAACACGCGGTTCTCCGGGAGCCCCCGCGGAGGGAGCTACTAACTAGGCCGGCACAGCTTCTCGGCTTAGCTCGAGCGGGATGCGTAGCTGGGCTGGGAGCTGGGGGAGAAGGCGCTGCCCCTGGGCATGTGGTGGGGGGTAGTGCATAGAGGCAAAAAAAAAAAAAAAAGCAGGAATTAGGAGTCGAGTTGGGGAGACAGCATGCAGGCACACATGCTCAACCACACGTGCACATGCTCACAAAACACAGACATGCATACACACATATCAGCACGCACACACAAACATGCACACACAGTCACAGATACAAAACAAACACATTTCACACAAGCACACTCATGAACACACGTGCACATGTACCCAATCACATATGTGCACACACATTCACAAACCACAGACATGCACACATACATTCATGAGCGCTCATACACAAATATGCACACACAATCACTCATACAACACAAACACATTCACACGTGCTCACATACACAATCACACTCATGAACACATGCACACACACCTAACCACACACATGTGCACATGCTCACAACATAGATGTGCACACACACTCATGAGCACTCACACCCACGCATGCACACACTCATACAATACATCCATGCACATGCATTCACATGCATACACAATCACAGTCATGAACACACATGCACAGACACCCAACCACACACATGTGCACACATGCTCACACAACACAGACATGCACACCCACACTCATATGAGCACTCATAAACGTGCACATGCAATCAGTCATACAGCACACAAATGCATTCACACAGTCACACTCATGAACACAAACACATCACACACTGAACCACACACGTGCACACACACAACACAGACATGCACACACACTCATGAGCAATCACACACAAACATCCACACGCAATCATACTCATACAACACTCATTCACACACATGGACTCACACAATCACAGTCATAAACACAATGCACCCACTCAAACACACACACATGCACATACATAATATACACTTACACTCACACATGCACAGACACGTACACTCACACACACACTCTCACACACAAAGCTGACTGTGCTAACCCTCTGTCCAGGGAGTGGCTTTGGTAATGAGAGCGGCCGGTCCATTTCTAGGTGGCCGGTGAACACCCCAACGAGAAGGCTGGGTTCCAGTCCCGGCTGCCCCGGTAACTGGCTGTGTGCCTCAAAGGCTGGACTTCTCTGAGCCTGTCTGCACAGCGAGCCCGTGCGGCGTCCTTGGGGACGGCAGGCAGGGCAGTGAGGATCAAGGCGCTGGGCGAACGCCGGCTGGATTAGCACCAGGGGAGCAGGCCTGGAGGCGCCCTGGGCACCGCGTTGGGCTTGGCCAGCCCGAGACAGAGGCGGAGACAGTCCCACCTTCAGCAGCTGTTTCTTGAGTAGCTCCCAGGGGCCAGGTGCTAGTCCAGGGGGTGGATGCTACAAACAAGAACTCAGGCCTCGAGGGAATTACAGCCTAGCGGGAGACAGACACTCAAAGGGACAAATGAAAGAGGAGACGCGCTTTCAGGGAAATGGTGTTACAAAGAAAATGGGTTAAGACGGGCTTAAGAGAAGGCCTGACACGTGGTGAGTGTGACGCGCGGGCGGGCCTACTTGGTTTCATCGCCCTGCGCCGCCCGCCGCGC